TTGAAAGAAAACTGAGAGCACAATAAAGACAATTTTGGAATGTTATTAAACTGGTGTGTTGGAAATTAAATTAAATTCTTTCAAGTACCTAAACTTTATTGATATTAAAAATATGCCGACTGAAAAATTATTTTATTTTTCGATTTGACAAAAATAGAAACTTATCGATGATCAAAATCACCGGAAAAGAATTAGAATTTCTATGGGCGAATTTAATTCAAATTAAAACTTATATTTACGCATGTCACTAGCTGACAAAATCATTTATTGTCTACAAACTTTCGCCAGACCGTTCGCGTGAAATGAAAAAAAAAAACAAAAGCAAACAACCTATGTTCTTCCAGACTATGCTCTATATCTATGCCAAATTTCATCCAGATCCGTTCAACCGTTTAGACTATAAACTTTCTTAATTTCACAAAATTTGTTTTTAATTAATTAAATTGTTGATACAATTTTGATTCCTAAAAGATAAAAAGTCGATAACAAATACATTTTTTTCTTCTGTAACATAGCCTTTCAATAACATGTACCTATCTAACCTTATCATATGTCTTTCTAACCTTCAGTGTTTCGTTACAATGTTGTGTGATACTTGATATTTTATTATATTAATACTCAACTTGGGAGATTTAATTCTATACAAGCTATTATCATGCAAACAAGTAACGATATTAGCAATACTAGAGGTAAATTAAAATATTTGAATGGCTTTAATATACTAAACTGTTCCAATACGATACTTAATCTAAACAATCGAATGCTTTAAGTTCAAAAATAATTGACCAGACAACTTTATTATAGAAGGCATTGGGATAAACAGATTTTAATTCTGGTAGTTGTATAGAATATTACATAATATGCAGACAATCCGCAGGATGACGAGAAAGACGGATTAATTGGCTGATAAAATTGTTAACATTAATTTACACTGTAGGTAATAGCGTGGGGCATAGGAATCTTAATAAAATCTTACTAATATTATAAATGCGAAAGTTTAGTTGGATGGATGGATGGATGTTTGTTAGAGTTTGTAGCCTAAACGACTGAACGGATTTCGATGAAATTTGATATAGATGTGGAGGATAGTCTGGAAAATCACATAGGCTACTCATTTTTGTTTTTTTTTTAATTCCACGCGGACGGAGTCGCGGGCGAAAGCTAGTTACTAATATTATAAATGCGAAAGTTTAGATCGATGGATGTTTGTTAGAGTTTGTAGCCTAAACGGCTGAACGGATCACGATGTAATTTGACATAGACGTAGAGGATAGTCTGGAAGGACGTATAGGCTACTTACTTTTATTAATTTTAATACCACGCCGACAGAGTCACGGACGAAATTTAGTATAAAACAAAATTTGTTGTCAGTAGCATTGCGACAGAGAACGATAGACGTATCGCGGTGTCGCTGTAGCTCCGGCGTTTGGAAGCAGCGCAGATAACGTGAACAAACATTGTAAAAATGCCAAAATACAAGATAACACACATAATAAATGGATGCTTAATGGTAGCTCTGTATACTGTATGTAATCAGTTACGAATTAAAAAATTACAATCAATTTCAATTGAAAAATCACATTGAAATATCGAGATACGTTTACTACACCACAATTTATTTTCGCAACAAAAAATGTTAATAACCAATTAAGCTAATTTCAATGTGCGTCTTAATAGCACTTTAATCCATATTCTTCAGAGTAAGTATACATTTCGAAGCGTAATATTAATTAGTTTAGATATCGGTGTATGACATTTCATTCATACAAAGGCTGCATCACCACATTGACCTCGCGGAGGGTCTGTCCGGAGATGTGTCACGCGCACACGACCATCGGTTATCAAATGCATGTCGAATGCACTACTAAATATTGATAAACTGCGAAACAACGAACTAGATTCCAATGGAATTATTTTGCTAGAAACACATTTAGGTATAATACACACGTCAGAGAAGCAAAACTGGTTTCAAATTGAAAATTCAAAAAGATACCAACTCGAAAGTTGTACTTGTTGCGATTTTTGAGAAAGTAATTTCATCAGCAACATTCCCATTTTACGGTAAAATTCCACTGTCTCATCGCTTGCTTTCCATATGTACTATCTTTGTTTTTCATTAAATAAGAATGAATGACAATTGCTTTTTACGATATTATCGGTACAAACCCAAAGCAAAGGCTCCTAGCGTGGGTTTCTACCGACTCTTTCTACTTCTGTGTCCCGGATCTTTTTATTATCAACATACATTTTATATATAACCAGAGCTCAACAAACATTCATCCAACTAAACTTTAGTAGGTATAAAGTAGACATACAAAAACATATTCAGACGTTAAAGAACAACTGGCTTAGAATGAAAACGCTAGCGCCATTTTTCAATACTAATGACCAGACCTGTCTCCTACTCACAGCTGTAGCGAACATCCATTCTTTGCAGAAATAAAGAGGACAGGGCAAGATGAAATGTTTCGTGTTAGTGTATTTGATTGCGTTTGTCTTCAACTGGCTCTCTCACTTCAACTTAACAAAAGTGACTCTATAGTGAATAAACAGAAGATCTATATTAAATAATCGTATTAGATATGACAGTTACGGCAAAATATTGAAACGAATTTATAACACTTCGCCTTATAAACGCTGCTTACAATCTAACAGACGCAACGTCTACATTTTGATAGAATTTGTAGTTTAAGCGTGGCCATAATGTTTCAGTTTTCGTACTTTATTCATTTAAAGAGTTAGAGTTAGAGAAGACCTTACATGTACTTTTACTACGGTTAGAGAAAATGTTAATACATTTAACAAAGGAAATAGTATAACTAAGCATGTGTGGTGATTAAATATTAAGCGTGTTTGTCACATCAATTTTACTTTTATGTCAACCTTACAGAACATCTAATGCTAAAGTTAAAATCTATTAGCTTTCCAGAGAATCGAAGTTCCAAGAATGAATTCCAGAACATTTTTATCTACTGTTTACTTATTTTGCGGACTGTACTTGTAAAATACGAAGAATGCAATACTTTGATAATTTCGATAACGTTATCACATTATGTTAATTACGATTTGTTTATTTAACCTTTATCGTTGTACAAAAATCTTAATAAAATCCGTCAACAACAAAATTACTGATATCTATCGACAATGAACAATAAGGATACAGTGAACATCGATGGAGAAAAGTCCACGAATGGACACAAGAAAAACAAGTGTAAATCAAATTTCGATGGTTAAAATAAAAACAAACGACTAACTAATTATATTTTAAAGAATCAATCTTTACCAAGACACAATAATCTATAGACAGGACAATTAATAAAAGAACCATTTGCTTGGATGAAGAAGATTTATACTATTTATTTTAAAAAAAACATCTATCATCAAATTATAAATAAAATTATCGGCTTATTACGCTTAGTAGATTCAGTTAATTGTTCCAAATTAATTGCCATTTACTAACATGTCTGTAGTCGCTACATCAAAGATAAACATAACTCTAACAAAAAACTTTACAAGTTCCGTAGTAACAATGTAATAAAGACTTTAAAAATCTCATTGGTCTCTCGGTTTCATGTATATGATTATGCAAATTTGCGTCTTTATCGGCCATTTTTGTTATCTGCGCTCTGTCTGGAGAATAACCTATATTAAAATACTTTCGTACAATGTACCGAGTAGAATATTGTGCATACACAATGCATTTTGATAAAACTTACGATATAGTAGGGGCAAAGAATGCATAAACAGATATATCCACAATACTAGAACAGTATGAATAGACAACTAGACTCCTTTGTCTCGATTTAATCTTGCATTGAAGGTTTTACAAATACAATTTACACTCTCCTACTTTCATTGGATTTAACGTCACATGTTTTCAACTACACTTGATGTCAAAATTAAGTAGTACATTTCTAAATGTCATCCTTGATAATTTCTTGATAAAAACATAACATATTATAAGCTAGCCGTTCTAGCCACATAAATAATAAAATGCTTTCTTCCATTAATTTTCTTATTGACAAATCACGCCACGTTTTGCATCTCTGACCTTCACTGTACTCCTAACAGTCTCGAGACTGTTGCATAATGTTTGCATTATTATCATTTTGAGCTTGATGAATTAATTGTGTGACATTGAAAACGTTTACGGTTAAAATGTTACTATTACTATATAATCAGACATTGGTACATACAAATTTCATTAGATGAGACGTTAGAAAACGTAATAAAAAGTCTGTACTACTGGTAGAGAGAGTTTCTGTTGTCTAGTTTGTCATTTGTAACCGATAGTGGTGCTGAACTTGTGCGATTAGTTCAAAATATTTAGTATTCGTAATTTCCGCTCTATAGCAATTATTATATTTGTATATCTTTGCGCATACAGGCTGTTTATTTTGAAGTGAATTGTTAAAGTATAAAATGTATATTGAGACAAAATTATTTTTATACACTTTAAATGATTATACTTGAGATATGTACTTATTTGGTAAGTATTGCATTTTTGGTTATATTTAGTTCACCTCTTAAATTTAAATGTCAGTAGCCAAAACACTCACGCAGTAGGTAACTACTTAAATATGTTTAAGCATTTTTTGGTACATGTATTGATAGTATGTTTTTTTTTTTTAAAAAAACTGCTCCTTTATTTCATTATTCAATAACAATATAAGTGGAAGAACTCATTGCTAACCAGTAAAACTTTAAACATATAATAGAGACACGTAATAAAACGACGACGATATACACAAGAGAACACAACACAAGTGCGTAGGTACATACGAACTATACACATGTTGATGTAGTCTTGTGTTTGTGTTCGTCCATTGCGTGCACTGGTCATAATAACGTCAAATTTCGTTTACACTTTGCCACTTATTTATAATTTGGATGCGACAAATATGCCAGGCATATTGGATAATCAACAGGTCGAAAACAAAGTAATTAAATTACGATTTCGTGGACAATATGTAATGTAAATCGGCCGGTGTCATACTTACAGATAAGGTCCCACCGTTTTGACCGAAGAGGTTAACAACACAAATGTTATCCGTCAACAAAAACACAAGAGATGCGGTGCAGGCGCGTTGCACACTGGGGCCGTTAACCCGGCACCGGCGGCGGGCTGCGTTTCGAAAACTTCGCGTCGGAGCGTTTAGTGAATATTCAAAAATAGACCGAGTATGCGTTAGACACGCGCAACGGTGCATGTAGCGTCGCTCACGGACGCCGGGACACGTCGCGAATCGACAACGGGAGCGGGCTACGAGCGCGGCCGGAGGATCACAGTGAAAATTTGCGTTGAAAAGTTTCCAATGCATCAAAGTTGGGATCGCGAGTTGGGCCCGACGCGGCGACAGCGCGACAGCCCCGCGACGATCGGAACTCGACTGGCGTCCGACCGCCGCCGCCGACCGCGCTCCGCCGCGCCTCGCGCCTCGCGACGCGAGACACCCACACCGGCGCGCGCACCCACACACGCGTTGCACGGTACACGCACGGCACACTCATACACGCACCGGCCACCACACACGCTCAACGCGACTGATAAACAGATCAAAAACACAACACCACGATGCAACTGCACTTGTAAACACACCCCAGCCTCCTGATATAGCCGAGCGGTGAGTGTTGAGCACAATAGATATAGCCCGTAAGATATCGCTAACCATGTAGTAACCACGTAAATCCACAAAGTACGGCGTAACATTAGTAAGTTGGAGTTGGAGCGATCTAACCTCATCGACGACACTCTATGACCAGGTTAAAAGTTACGGAGCGAGATAAGAAATTAGCAAAAGGAATATTCCGAATGAATTATGAATGTAGTCTCACAAGTTCTCTTATCTTTAATGAATGTTTATTTCTTGAATAAACTAACTTAATAATGCGGTTTGTTTGCTAAAAACCAAATAGAAGTAGAGGAAATAATTATAAATGTAGGAATGATAAAAACTTATCGTTCGCGTACAGTACGGTGCAAAAAATAAAACGTATAGAGTCCAAACATATTGAGTATTTGTGTTTCTTTTAGATACATTTGTACACCTGTACGCAATGACGTACCATTGTAAAATCTCATCAGATTTCTATGATCAGAAAATCGTATCAGATCAAAAATTGTTTACAAACTTACTAATCATATAACAAGAAAACATTATAACAATGATTTAAGACAGAATTTCTATACCAGAAAACCTTGTAATACATCGAACGTCAATGTAGTCTAGAGCGGGAAGCAAACCAACGAATCGAACGTCAGTACACTTGCATTTTAAGAAACAGGACCTGCCAAGCGGTCGCATTTATCTTTGATAAATAAAAACGAACAGTAATAAATCTAAACATGTTTATGTGCTACTTTTGAGTCAGTGGGTGTTATGTTTCAATTTAAGTGCCATCATGATATTATGCACATGTGTGATGAATCTGTTAACAATGTCGACGGAGGCGCGGACGCGTCGGCTCTTTGCCTAGTCCGTTGCTCTATAGTCAAAGTCAGCATACGAATGCACATGTCTATGAGACGTGCGAAGCGTGAGTGCAACACGCAATACGCAATGGCCGCGGGCGTATGTACTTTGTAGCACACATCACTAGGGCTGTCTCCTCTAGAATTTAATAATAAAATCCTATGAAATAGGATTTCAATAGGGCTGTCATAAATCATTATAGGTGTTTAAAATACACTTTTATTATTAGGTAGAATGCTTTATGAGATAGCTGGTAATAATTATAATATTTATTAGCTACTTAAATCATAAGGATTTAGCTAGAAGCATCTTTAGTAAACATTTTTAAGCAGTGATTCCAGAGGCAAACTTTAGACTAATTTTAGGTTTAGAAAAGTAGTACGGTAACTAGTTAAAAGACTCATTAATTATTTTTTTTGATAAAAAAAACGCTTTGGCCTATTCTTGTTGATTGGAGAGAATATTAATTGCAAAAGTAAAGATTTTTAGTACGTAAAAATTTACTTACATGTAGCCCCTACTTTTCGAACTCGAAAATTACCTGAAACAAAAACTGGAAAGAATTTTTATTTGAAGCTTACTTTACATTTTACTTTTAAAGTTTATCTTTTGATTTTTGTCTTTCTATACTATTATAATAAGCGTAAACACACACTTCTTTGTTGCCTAAGATGTCAGCAATTACAGCATATTTTTGAATAATTCTTTTTTTAATAAAAAGCCCTACATTTACGTCACGCTTTAGGCTTCATATTTTATGCCATTAAAGTTAGGGGGTAAATATTTAGGATAAAAACCCTAATGTGGGAAAGAGACCATAAGTTGCTGTCTACATCAAAATTGCCACAGTAAGGTAATTGGTATTTTGACATTTGCAATTGAGAATTTAGTAGATTTAGGTAGTTGTTAAATAAATTGTTAGTAAAATACATCCAGTCTTTTAAATATAATTTGAGTAGGCGATATAATCTACATATAGTTACTCAGACATACTCGTATCTATTTCTCTGTAAATAAGTTTGTCTAAACAAATCCCAATAGAAATAGCAACAAAGCCTCTTAGAACGCAGAAAGTTTTCCACAATAGGATATATAAAGTTTTACCCTCTTGATACTATTTCAAATAGAAAAGATTCGTTTATGCGAATGGAATATAAAAATAACTTGTCTTTATATTATATACGAGTATATCCCAACGGGTGTTAGTCCAATCGAATCTATACAATCGACCAAAAGGGAAAAAACATCTCATAGGGACGATTGCACAGTAGGTCGATAGGCCCAACGGGAAACACCTGTCCAGACCCTCTTACGTTTTCTACGACTGGTTTTAAATAATTGCGATAGTACTTAAATTGTGTTGTATTATAATGTACAATATAATATGGATCAAAATTATCTTATTAGCGTAAGCTTCCACGGTTAAATAGAAAACGGTTAAAATCAATCTTTTAATCTCTATGAGCAAGCAGACATAATGGTATTTTGAACTCAAGCATCATCCAAGAGTTCTTTTATTTGTCTTTTTTATGCATTTAAAGTTTTGAATCTGAAATCTAAACTTGTGCATCAAAATTTTCTCGACATGTCCGAGATAAGCAAACTCTAAGATGCAAATAACTTCAACGAACATTGGCACATAGCCAACATACAATGTATCGCATGTCTTACTAAATGTCAATAAAGGATGAAAGGATAAAGTTATGCTGGAATGATAGATTGGGTTTCTCTCAAAGTCTGTAGACAGAATCAATATCAGAGACCACTTTGTGTATTGAGCAAGACGGTCGCTTTGAATAGGCCAATATTACGCTTACTATCGATCTAGCTAACCAATTTCAATTACATTCTATTAATTCTGTTTGTATCGTTGCCGTTCATTTATTATGTAGACACGTCATGGGTACAATAACCCATTTCGTAGGTCACAACGCACGAACTCAAGTAAATATTATTAATTGACTTGCTTACAAATACAGTATAATAAAATTAACTGGTAAATGGAAAACAAATCTAAATCTATATTGATATTATAAAGATTTATATTGTAAGTATCGAAATAACTCAAAAACTACTAGGCCCATTTCAAATATTCTTTAACCAATAAATAGCTACGTTATCAGTGAGTAACATAGGCCACATTTCATTATTTTTTAACGGCGACAAAGCCGCCAGCATCAGCAAATGTAGAATAAAGAAAAATTGGAAAAAACCGACAGTTCTACGTTTGCTAAATTTTGTATATTTTTGCTATTAATCAAAACTCTTTTAACTTTCCACACAGCTATTCACCATCTAAATATTTCAAGCAATATGATTTTCAAGCCAAGAATTTTATGAAAAGGATTTTGTTAGGTAGAAAAATTGCAGAATGTACACAGCTACTTTAGTAAATAGAATAATAAATGAAAGCAGATATTTTAAAAAGTAATTTTATATGAACCGTTTCTTGCCAAGAATACGGCAGCTAAATCAGACGTAGACGTATCTAGGTTTTAAATATAGGTCAAAGTTGAACAACGTAGGATAATTTTGTATTTTTTTATTTCTACTGCAGCGGAGAAATGTACTGCCAAGATCAGTGGATGGGGAAGAAGTACAGGTCAGAGCGATGTTGGCAGCTATGATATACCATATGAGGCAAGAAGCCAAGCTAGCTAACGATCTCTATCAGAAATGGATTATTGCTTTAATACTTTCATTATCAATGTAATAAATTTGTTCGTAGACTCATTTGTGACAAATCTGTACAAATAACGAACTATTAATCGCAAACAATAAATCTATCAAACGGCAAAGATTTAGAGATATAAATATTCGTATGGAATCTACCAGTAGCAAATATTTAAGTCAAGTTTTGTTTTTTCAATTGAAATAAATCGATTAACATACATCGGAAATACAAAAACAGTTCAGAATCGATAATTGAATTCGGTTGTAAGTTTATACGAATATGAAGAGGCAATATTGAAGGTTATGTACTTATTTCGATCGATCGAGAATAATCTTCTATCCGTCAATGATTATACAATTAATTACAGCACTTAACTTATATGACATAATAGGAAAAAATATTTCTATTGTTTCTTAGAGCTAAGCAACATATTTCAAACTAAACTGTTAACACGCCATAGCGTTAATTGACTTTGTATAATATTAATCGTAAATTTAAATAATTTATTCTTTACAGGAAATTATGACCTTACATCATTCCTTATAAGAATTTGTATTACGTAAGCTATGAAAATTCTTTAATTTGGTTTTATTTTTAACTTTTTTATAACATATGTAGGTATACGAACTGGGCACAAATGACTCGTGACTAAAGAACTGCATTATAAAATTGACATACCGTAACACATATTCTTAAAATAAAACGGAAACAAGAACGTTTATTTTAAAGTTTTTATTTAAAGAACTACTCAAGATATCGAGTTCGCGCGAATTAAATTAACAAGGAATGTCGCGAGTCATCTTACAGCTTTACAGAAAGTGTTCGTTAGAAATAATAACGCTTAAATAAATTAGTGTAATCTGTCCGAGCGCTACAACGCGTCTTCCTTGAGACGTTAAATAAATTATAAGAGATATTTTCTAGAGGAACATAATTTAAAATATGAACCGACGTCAGTTAAGTTCTCACTCGACGGGAGAAAGATTCCGACTCTTTCCACAAAATGTAACGATAGCCGCCTACTAGTGATTTATGATAGGATGCTGTAATTACTGCAACATAAATCATTATGAGTAATGGAAACGGACGTCTCAACAACTAAATTAAATTTATGAAATAAAATACAAGCTGATTTTTAACAACATTCCCACTTCTAACAGAAGTAGTGACAGTAACATCAGTTGCAATGGGTAATTTTCACTGATGTAATTCCAAAAAGAAGACAGGCAAACAGTTAAAACAGTCTCTGAAAAAGTTTTCTAGGTATTTTC